CAAATACTTTCCGATCAAAATTTTCAATATATTAAGCCTTCAGATATTTATAGTTTTGGCGTATTGATGTGGGAAATATCTAGCGGATATCCTCCATTTGAAGATAAGTTTAATAATAATCAAGACCTTCTTATTGCTATTACTTGTCATGAAACTCGTGAAACTACTATAGCGGATACACCAAAGGATTACGAAAAACTTTATAAAAAATGTTGGAAACAGAAACCTGAGCAAAGACCAATCATTAAAGAAGTATTGAAAACATTTTTGAAGATGGGCTTTGGAAAAAAGAAGGACGATCAAACAGCCAAAAGTAAATGTTTATAATAAATTTTTTTTCTGTAATTTATATAATTTAAATTAATTTTTTTCAATTTATTAATATAGACGTAATTATAGAACATACGAATAATAATTCTGATCCTGATTCACAAGTTGGCGATTCTATCCAATTGGTTACCTATGATGAATTAGATGGTAAAGTTGCCTATTTAAATTTTGATCGTATAAATCACGAACATATTAATTTAAATTAATCTATTAATTTATTGCTTTTTAGTTTCTTCATTTTAAATGAGTTTCAGCGAGAATCAAAGATATTGTCAAACTTAACCAAATTAGAAATTGTCTTTGTAAAGTAAATAAACGTTAAGTTTGTTATACCAGTGTTGTCATCACTAGATAATGGACAATGGACAACACTGGACAAAAAATGCTGCCCATTGTCTATTGATCAAGCAATGGATATATGATAAAGTGTCCATTGTTGTCCATTGAGTTTACTTATATTTATTAATATACAATTAATAAAAAAAAAAAAATCAAATATATTTAAATTTACTATTATTTTATTTATTTCAATTTTTATCAAAAAAAAATTAGATATCATACAATTCTTTAAAACGAAATATCTAAATTAGAAACAAACAAATCTTCCGCGATACCAGATTTTTTATTTAGAATTTCGAGATCATCATCAAAAGTATACTTTCACTAACAAATAAATTTAATATTAATTAAATAAAATTTAAAATTACCAATAAATTGCCATTTTGTAGTTGTCGTTGTAATATGAAATTTTGATAATGCTAAAATTCTATTAACTTCGTTAAGTTCATGTTCATTCAAAAATTTTTGACAAGTTTGAAGATGTTTATAACAATAATATTAAGTATTTGCAAATTTATTATTTTTATCTTATATTAGATATATAGTATAAGATTCCTATTAAAAGATAAACAAAGAACCTTCTTATTATTTTATTTGCTTTTTCATTGTGAAGTACTTCAAACCATGAAGTTAATGAATGTGGCGCTTTTCCTCTGTATGTGTCATTATATTCAGAAAGAGTTTTTATTAAAACATGCGATTTGGATCCCTTTTATATTCTAAATTTTTCCAATTAAGTTTAATCATGGTTTTTATTACATCATCACTATGGACACAATGGACAACAAAATGGACGCAATGGAAAAGTGTCCATTGTCCATTGTTATACCAATGGATATGTCCATTGCCAACACTGTGTTATACAACTAGCTAATAAAATAAATAAAGTTCCGTACAAGTCATACTTTAAATAAGCTTAATTTGAATAGTTTGTTGTAGCACAAATTCGTTAATTTCCGAATTGATAATTTTTATACCCAAACACGAATTTCGTTTTGTTTCAAAATGAATTATCCCAACTATTAACTTGAGTTATCCAAATGTCCACATCGATCCGCTCAAAGGACCACTTTGGATGCCCAAATGAACACATTAATTAGGAATTAAATACTATTTATAAATGTTGGGTTAATTTAGTGGTTATTTTGGATACTCCAAGAGATAATTTTGACAATATGGGAATTGATTCAAAAATATGAAGAACATTTCTCTAGTTTCGATCTTATTATAGCGCGCGGAAAATTACCAAAAAAAATTTAATTGTTAAAAAATTTAAACATTTCACAATTTACATTTTATGATAATATAAAATAAGGTTGACAAATCTATTATTTATATCTTACGCGCAGTCATATCGTGTAACATTAAAAAAGATTTTACTATAATTTTCAAGTTTTTAAAAAAATGATCGAGAATTTAAAAAATCTGGACAATTTTGATTATATCAGATTTTCCGAATTTTTTTTTTTTTTATTTTTTTTTTTTGTAATTTTCTCAATTTCATGTTTAGTTTTATTCTTTTTTTCTTATTAATTTTATTAACTTTCGTACAAACTTTTTTCATTTTTCTTTATATTATTCAATATTCAGTTCTTTCGTTTATGTATTTATAAAAAATTTGTGATGTAAGCAGAAGGTTTTTATTGAGTAATTATTGAGTAAAAATGAAGTAATTGTGACAGAATATTTATTTAATAATATCAAATTAATCAGTATAGCCTCAACTCCGGCGCTCTACACTTTCGCAATGTCAATATATTAAAACTAAATAAATGCAATTACGAAAAAATTGAATAATAAAATAATAAGAAAATCGGAAATTAAAATAAACGAAGTTACAAAATACGAAATTTAAATGTTAAAACGACGAAAGCGAAATATCGCGAAGGGATTAAGGAAGTTTTTTGAGGGTTATGTATGCAAAATATAATAAGGGAGAGCGTGGTATGTTGAGCTGTCTAAGGATTTCCTGCTCGTATTTATAAAAAAAAAAAAATAATTATAAGGCCAACCTATCATCTTGACTTTTGTCATACCTGGCAAATGGTCTTCAAAAGACTAACTGCAAATATCGAGTGATTTACATGCGAAATATGGAGTTTTCGGGCGAAATTATGTATATTCAGAGTAACAAAATTAATCATTTTTCGGCATTTTCAATTCTTTATTTGGTATCAATTTATCGAAGTACGCGGTAGCAGGTATTTATGTATTTATTTCTTAGTTTATTTTTAGCTTTATTTTTTTAATTTCTGGTTTGATCGGATTTTTCACACATTTGATTTATCATTTTTATTTTTCTCAGTTTATTTTTGATCATTTCACCATTATTTTCTCAAATCTAATGAATATATCACAAATGAAATGAAATTATAAAGCGTGGAAGTGGATTGTTTGACATACGTCTTATGATTCCCGATTTTTAGTATAGCCGCACTTACTGCGTCATTAAAAATAGATTCGAATTTTTTTTCCCATCAAAGCGCATTCGGACATTGACACATTGGGCTACAAAGGTAAAACTTGAATCAACTAATTGATAGAAATAAACGTACAAAAATTGATTTTAATAAAATATTAACAAGGGATAAAATTCCTAGTAATGATGATAGGATGCACATCTCTTTTATTTAAAATGCAATAATTGAGTTGAACAATATTAATATCACTCTCCGGAGGTTCAACAATCTGATGAAGAAAATAGAGGAATAAATTAAACACTCCTGTGTTCTGAAGATGTTTGATAAATTTACTATAATTTAGTATATTAAGTTACATTGAAATAGCTTAGATCGCAATTTCTTTATTAAAATTATTAAATTCGATATATTAAGACGAATCGTCGAAACCCGAGAGTTTTGTCAGGCAACTATAGGTGACATTGATTTAAATAATAATTATACATATGTATCAAAATTTGAAAAATCTGCAACCATACTTACACAGATGAATTTTGAGTCTCCCAAATTCCAGAATGGAAAATGTGAAGTTAAGAAGAAGCTGAAATGAAACATCCGCCCATGAATTATAAATTAGCACTGTCACCATTGTAAGCTATATTACGTCATCCATTGGAAATTAACAATAACAGATAATATTTTAAATTCAACAGTTTCTTTGAGTTCCGGCGGGACAAGGGTTGAAGTTTGCGAGGAGTTCTTAAGTGTATACAGAGATGGAAATTCTCTATACATGAGGTGGATCGAAAAATTATAGTTGCGGACTAAACTTATTTATGTTTCGAATTCGACTTTCGTCAATTTAATAGCATCGACTATTTTTATAGTTCCGACGGTACCGTCGAAGCCTAAGAGATTTGCCCGCAAACTTACAGCGAATATGACAGTATATCGCCGTAATATTCAACCCATCCGAACGATTTGAATTAATGATTAAAGATGTAAAGTCAACACAGAAATTTTTTAAGGGCAAATTTATTCTAGACTCCGGTTTAGGTTATTATCAAAACTTTAAAATCACGTGCAAGAAATTTAGCTATTTCTATCACGTGATATGTACCCAGAACAACAATTACGTTGTTGTATGACGTTATTATGAATAAATACTTAATGATGACGCTTATTGCGGTACAAAAAATTTTTCTTCGTAGAGACTGAAAGTATTACAGTGAGTTTTCTGAATACATGGCATTTTTTTTCTTTTTTTCTTTAATGTTTTTTCTCAAAATATTGCTGTAAATGTTGCTATATAGATATTGTCCGTTCTTAGAACTAAAGTGACGCATGTTTTTTCGTGATTATTATTTCTTTGACAAAGAAATCTAATTAATAATTTCCTGAATAGGCTGTTCTTGGATTTCGAAGTCATTCTAAACCTAAAAAAATACCATTTTTAGAATTGAACTTCATTTCCATTGCAAGCGGTCGTGACCCTTGGTAGAAGCTGCAGGAGATCTTAGCCCATGGAAGTAACCTTTCGATCCCTTCAAGTGGTCATGATCCTTGGTAGAAGTCTATCCCGTATGATCCTTAAAAGAAACCCATCGATCCCATCAAGTGGTCGTGATCCTTGATAGAAGTCCAATCCCGTGT